GAGCCAGGGGCTTGCGTAGTATCTTTGGGAGCACCAATTGGTAACAATACATTGGGCAAGCTGAGAGAGAGATCAAGTGGCTCTAAAACTAGTCTTTCGTCTTTCTGTTTGCTAGCACCAGAATGCTCCTCTTTCCCCACTCTCCGAATAGGAGAGCTACCGAACAGCTCAAAGCCCCGAATACTTGGTTCCCCCAAATCATCATCCCTACCCCCAGAAGAAGGGGCACCTCTTGGTTCTGTTTCTGTCCAAGGAGCAGCCGTCACATGGTCAGGTGAAACAACCACACTCTTACCTTTACCCTTCAAGTTCTGAGCCAAATTCTGTGTGACCAAATTGGCATTCAGTTCGGCCCCTGCATTATCCTCCACCACTTCCATTTTTGACTCCTGTACACCAGCTTCTGCCATGCTAGGATCTAGATTGAATCCATTCCCCTGTGTACTCCTTCCATCCAAGTCATCAGCTTTCTTCATGGACTTAGCTTGACGATTCCCCTCCTTGCATTCACTCTGCTCCTCCAAATTCTTGACCTCCTCAGTTCCTACAGAAACCCTATCGTTGAGTGCATTAACATACAGGCTGATTTCCTTCTTCACATTGCTTTCGCAATTTGACATCTCAATACCTGCCTTATCCACCTCATTCGTCTCAGACATGATAGCTTTATGAGGCCCATCAGTATTGGCCACTTCATCCTCTCGTTCATTCACTCCAGTGGCAACCTCCACGACAGACTTGGCCTCTTTTACTCCAAGCTTTTCAACACCATTCTCATCTTCATGTACAACCTCCTGATTCTGGTCAGGCTCTTGCTCAAGCTCACCTTCCTCCATCTCACTGCTGCTGAGACTCTGGATACTCTTTACTTCCATTTCAACAGTCTGTGTCCTAACTTCAAGACGTATTGCCTCACCTTCAACACTCCTCTTCCCCACCTCCACAATTCTTGATTGTTCACTGCCCGACTCTTTTGACCATGTAGGTGAAGACCTCGACTTTGAAGTTGAAGACCTGCCCTTTCCTTCATCCCTATCCCTGCCCCTGAATATCTTTGACTGATTGCTACCTGAATCCCGGGACCAAGTTGGCGACTTGACCTCCCTCAGCCCTTTAGGAGAAAACCTAGCTGCAGCAGCCATTCTCTCCTCATTCCCGGTTCTGCTCCCTTTTCCCTCCTCAAAATCCTTGATCCCACTGCCTAATCTCCTCCATGAAGACACACTCCCTGCTCTTCTGGAGCGGTCCCTCTCCGACCTATATCCTTTAGGGAACTCCCTCCGCGACCCTGAGAAACTCTCCGATCGATGAATGACTCGATCAGCACTAACTCCACCACTACTGCTACCACCTCCTCCACTGTTGTAACCTTCTCTACCAGCGTACCTATCAAACCCAGAGCCCAATCCTTTCCTCCTATCGAAGCTATCAAAATCATAATCAGTACGCTTGCGCACCAACCTCAAGCTGTCTCGACCATCAGCATCAACAGATTTATCCCGATCACAACTGCTGGAGGGAGATGAAGCTGGCACCAACCGCTTCCTTACACCATCGGGTTTGTAGTAATCGCTTCGCGAAGAGGATTGACTCATGCTCGAATCTTTGAGGGGGCTCTTTTCACCGTAGAAATCAATATCACTTGATCTCTGCCTCTTCGACTTGAAATGACTCTCTTCCTCCCGGAGAAGAGAGAACATAAATCGCTTCCACAACAACAACGACGAATACTTGAAACGGCAAGTATGGAGCTTTGAAACCCTAAAAATTGGGGCCAAGTTTTCCAATCATTTCCTTGTTACAGACTCCAATATCCAAACAAGTAGCTATGCAGCTTTCAACAAAGCCCGAACTTGAGGTCTTGAGAAAACTATGGTTTTGAAATTGCAAGTAGCTATGCAGCTTTCAACACAGCAACAATAACGCCGCCACCACCAACTATATACACACACTACATAGAACAAAGGCTAGGGTTTTGAAATTGCAACAAATTTTGAATCTGGAAACAGGGCAGACTAAATCCCATGTGGACTTCAGAGAAACTATGGTCCATCGGCATCCCTTTAAACAAAGACAGTGTAAAGAATATAACCCACCAACTCCTCAAGCAAAGCAGACGCTTTTTGACCAAAACTTCACACCAATAGATTTACGAATTCGAACAACCCAACTTCAAAAGCAGGCGACTGCTTTTCTTACACGAAGCCCGAGAAGGTAAATCTGGTGTATGTTTCGAGCGAGACCATTTAAGGGAAGACACGGCTTCGAGCTGCAATCCCGAAGTGCTCCTAGACACAGAGCAGGAATTGGAGAATACCCAGGTTTGGCGAGGCGGTGAGTGAAGGAGGAGCCTGCCGGCGTGGCAGGTGAAGAAAAGAAGAAGAAGAAGAAGAAGAAGAAGAAGGAGAAGGCGTGGAGATTGGGGGAGGAACGAGGAAGAACGGAGAAAAATATGAGGTAATGGATGGTTGGGTGGAAAACGGAAGGAAGGAAGGAATAAATTGGATGTGTCGTTGCTTTCCACCAGTCAACGCTGTTTTTCAAAGATAGTGGAGAATTGTTTTTTCAATTTTTTCCCCCAACGTTGTGACAAGACAACCGAACCAATGTAGCAAGTTTATCTAACCTGTTTAGGCAGCGACTGGATCGGTTTGGAAAGTGATTTGAGATTCAATAGTCCGATTGAGGTTTACCTAACCTGTTTATCGAACCACTAATGAAATCGCTGAAAACAAGAGTGATCTACTATGAATTGCAACTAGCTTTTACCCGACCCGTTGGTCGGATGAATATATCTTATTTGTTATTACTTCGTGATAATCACTTCATTTATATTTTAAATTGATTTGGAACATTCTTAATAGTTTATATTAAAGAATTGAATGTAATCTTTGTACTACTTACTACTTGTGAGATTGGTAATAATTAGTTTATATGTATTTTTGTCGATAGAATTATCCTAACTCACTACTGTCTGTAGTGATGGCAATTTGAAAGCCCCGTGGGTATTACCGACCTAACCCGTGATGGGCTGGTATTACCCGACCAACAATAGCAAGGGGCAGGGCATGGGTATTTACTTCTGACCTGCTCTACCCTGTTATTGGCTCCTTCTATTTTAATTTCTTACAATATCTATACATATTTACTCAATTGCTCATTTTATTATCGCTATTTTTCATGCATAAAGTGTTTTCCCCTTCATTTATAGTAAAAAGTAAAATTTGTGTGTGTTAACATATAAGAGTGGGTCGACCCTTTTACCAGTCCAGACCCATAAAAGCATGGGTATTGAGGTACCCGCCCCGCCCCGCCCATTGCCATCACTAACTATATATGTTTCATGATAAAAACAATTTGCACTCCTTATTGTTAGCATAAAATGCTTAAAATATTTATTCATACCTATATTATTATTTTTTTTTCTCTATAAATCCAAATGAAACTAAGACAATTATGTATTAAAATAGTAATTAGGAACTTCAAGGATTAGCCCAATGCTAATATATAAGGATATTTCATCATCTAATGATTCAAAATTTATGGTCAATGATCAATTGAAATGATAATAATAATAATTAAGAACACATAAATTATATTATTCTAATTGATTAATAACTAATATATATCTTAAAACAATTGGGATTGTTAAGGGCTGACAACAACAGTTTAAGCCAATTATACTTGTCATAAATCTAAAATCTTCTAACATTTTTAATCTAATTGCCACGAAAGCTTATCTCTATAAGCAGAAAAACTAACCTGTATCCAGATAGAGCTCGAGCTCCTCAAACAGAAGTAGAAATAATAGAGCATCATAATGGTAATTACAATTTGGTATAAGACTCTTTACCTTCCTAGAGTACCTAATTCACAACTTTGAATAATCGTGATCCATGACCATGTACGCAACACATGTTAAATGAGAAACAAAATAAAGTCAAACAGTCTAAGTTGTAACCACACGGTGCTTCTGAGTGATGGTGTCATCAAGCCATCAAATCAATCCCTATACTAATAAATCTAAATGCTGTGTAGTGAGTAAAAATAAAAACGATTCAATATGTTAATCTCTGTTGGGCTTGGAGTGTTAACTCTATCCAGAAGGAAAGCAGATGAATCTACATCTCCATCAACATAACTTCTGCAACAACAAAGGCCGTTTGCTCATTTATCTTAATGCTCAACTGTCAACTCCTTAGCAATAAGGGGAGTATGCATAATAGCAATTAAGTACAAAGAAAGATGGGACAAAAAGAGATTGAAAATATAGACTGGAGCTACCTCTTTTAACAAATCCATGAGATTCTTTTTTGGGTCACTCTACCTTATGTTGTTCTGGCCTTGACACCACTGATCAAAAGTATGCAACCAATAAAAATCTTCAAATAAAAAACCAACACTTTCATCCTAATGTCAACTATTATTTGTTTAGAAAACAGGCAGGAAACGAATGGTTGGATGAATAGAATACTCACAATGGTGTAGATTTGATGCCCTTTATGTACATTGATTCACCAAGCATGCCCTGAGAGAAACTAATTCAGTCGCAAAACATATAAAAAGCAAAATAGGTAAACCTAGAAGAGGAAAGAGCAAACTAATGTTCTCCAATCTCCATTGCCCTTGCATTGGAGATGAGCTCGCTTCACTAATAAGCTGTAATCGGGTAAAGCAGAGGTTCAAAAAATATTTGGTCAGCACACATAACTAATTCCTACAATAAACAGAACGGAACCTGTGAAACGACAAAAAGTAAACCTCAATCGGTTCCCTCGAAATTACAACAAAAACCAGTTCATATTACATTCTTTTCTTCAATAGAATAGAAACTAATGTATGGAGAATTGAGAGCTAAGTGTCAAATATTTCAATAGATTAATTTGATCTGTATGCTAAAATTCTAGCAAGTAAAACTTGAAATGATAAAGTAAGTGTAGTAGTTATGGGCATATAAATAAACTGAAAATGCTTAGAAGCACATGCCAAGAGTAATGACTATTGTTCAAGTAAATTAATTAAGGATCTTTGCTGCTAAAAGTGAGAGGTCTTGTCTGAGTAATTGCACAATCATCCTCCTAACTATCATACATGACCCTGATATGCTTAGCCTCTGAAGATCGACAAACAGATCCATGATAAGAAGCTATAGAGACACACAATTTGCTTATACTACTAAAAAGGGCAGTTGTGGTATCAGTGGATGAGGACCCAATCAGCTTGAGAATGACAGGTCATTAAATGGTTAATATGTGAATAAATGACTACAATATACTTGTAAAACATCAGTCAAATAGATGGAAGGATCATGAGATTGTAAAGACCAGCCTATTATGCAAAATGCAAAGAAACCAAAAGAAAAAAGGGTATGTTAATGGGTTGGTAATGATGAAGGATCATGCATGGTTTTGACATTTAAAAGGAAGGTAGAGTAATCCAAACTAACATATGATGTGGTAAGCAGCAGTAGCGACTCGCCACAATATAGCTTCGACATGAACCCCTCGTTATAAGAACATAATGTCACAGGAATGAAGTAGTGGTTATAAGTCGATGCTTTTACCATGAAGAGAAAAACAAGAATCTCCACACCGGCAAATTAAGTTTCTGGTCTATCATAAGCCATTATTGGAGACACCATAAAGCATTAACCATTGCTATTAAATTCGAAACTGAACTGAAAGCAAGCATGATCGGTTCCATCTATCAATATCTAAAAAAAACTATCAATCTATTCGACAAAGAAGAAAGGAGAACAGAGAAGATAGGTACCAAAAGAAAGGCAATGACGCTCTTCAATATTTCGCCATAACCAAGCGAGACTGCGAAATCGAAAAATCAACAAATGGAATGGGATTAGTGAAAAGCATAGTCTGGGAAAAAATTGAAAAGAGTATCTTCTTTGTCGCCTGTGATATATGAAATTGGCTTATGAAGAAATGACAATAGGAAGATGAGAACTTACTATGTCAAAACATGAAAATGGCAAAGGAGAGCTTACTTGGAATGTCACCTCTATGAAACTGGAAGGTACCATCTTGCTCAACCAACAACACCCCATCTGAAATCCCACCACAATGGTTTCAAAAAACTATGCATTTGAAGATGAACGCTTGACTCCACCCACTGACAACTAACTTCACAGCTGAAATGCAAGTCGTGGAATCCTACCACAATCTTAAGACTTGACACACACTTCGACACACTCTTGTTCTCTTTCAGTCCTGAAAGTACAGTTCTGAAATTTCGTTCACATTAGCTTAATAGATTGAACGCCAAATTGAAGCCGGAGGTAAATGCCAATAGATAACCTGAACAAACAGAAGCAAACAAAATGTAGATCCCGATTAGAAGGCATATGAAGCAAGCCATGGCCACTGACATGCAAGCAACTTGAACAGAGCAATATGTCGCGAGAGAAAGGCTAATAAACACAACAACTGCGACGAAACCTAAGTAAGTCGATAGAGAAGATGATATGGAAGCAAGGGATAGAGAAAAGAGTGCGAGATTGGATATGAGGATTACCTATTAATTATTATCATCCCAACGGTAACCCAATGGTGACGAACCCCCACGTATCTCTCAAACCCAGTTGGAAGGAACAAAGAGCAGCGACCCCAAATCCAGTTGACGGAAGGAGGAGGCTAGGTATCGCCGACGATGAAAGACTATGATGCGGAACAAAGACTCTGAAATCCAAATTTGGGAACGTGACGACGGTGGAACGGTAAGGGGGTCGCTGTGTGGTTACCGTCCTCAAGTTCAATTCAAGAAGAAATGGGAATCGACGATGGGTGGTTAACGGGGGCCGAGGGTAAAGCAGTTGGGGATTCAGAGGCAGGGGAAGGCAACTCTGGCTATAGGGCGGGTGGAGGAGGGAGGAGAGTTGCAGGACGATTTCGACGGCAAGCTTCTGTCGGGTGGCGTTGGAGGTACGGTTAATGGAGGAGATTTGAGATAGCATAATACTTAAATGACAAAAAGCAATTTTGCGACTGAAAAGAACTTGAGGAGAAATTGAAGCGGTAGCCGGAGCCCGTGAATACCCGGCCACGTCAGCTTCCACAAATCACTCTACGTACAGGGATTTTTGAATGGTGGTGGCAGTTTTAAGTTTCCACTATAAATTATACTGTAGATATAATTTGTCGACAATTCCAACAAACCCTTTCCACTTTGTATAATGGGAGCGTACTTCACTTGGGCGACCCATTTTTTCTTCCTTTCCATCCAAACCAAGGCAATTAGCGGCAACCAATACTGACTTTTAGGGGTCGTTTGGATCAGGAAATTGATTTTGAGAGATTTTTCAAGGATTTGATATCAAATCTCTGACTTAAAAACCTAGATAATTTTAATGAGGAATTTGGGCCAGTTAACTTGTTTGGTAATACATGAGGAATTTGGGCTCAAAATGTGTAAAGACCATTTTACCCACTTATCTTCTTCCTCCTCTCCCGATATCTGCTTCCTGAACAAAACATTGATTGGAAGGCCGGCGACCTTGATAATTTGGCGATCGCCGGTGGCTTCGTTAATTGCCAGTGAACTCGCGGAGGACCGGCGACTATGCTAAGGCTGGTGAACTCACTCAATCCGGTAGAGGAACACCTTGAACCCATTTGACGGAGAGCGGCGCCAGTGAGCATCAGAACTAGAGACGTAGAGCGGCCGGTGAGAATCAGATATGGGAGATGTTCGCTCACTCTCCTCTTTCTCGACTCTCATCGTCGCAAAGAACCAGAGATGAAAGATGTGGCTGCGCCGCTAGCTCTAGATCTGCCTCCCTTCCCCTCTCTTCGTCGTCGATGGGACCCAGAAATCGATGTCGGCTTCGGCAGGAGCTTGGAGTCTGCGGCAGTTTTTGCGAGATGCCCATGATGAAATACCCGAAACAGCCCACCTAGAAAATCCCTCTATCGATTTGAGGAGATCCCCCAAATCAGACCGCCATTGTTGTTGTAGATCGGAGCTAGTCAAACTCCATTGAAATAGCCAACGAGATGCGCGTCGTAGCCTTGCGAGCTTGCTTGATCTCGTATAGGGACAGAAAGGGAGAAGGGAAGGATCGTAAAGAGGAACTGGGATAAGAGGGGCATAGATTGGGAAAAAATTAAATAAGATGAGGGATTTAGAAATACTTGGGGGTAATTAGCTATTTCAAATTTCTTAACATCAGGGTTTTCAAAATTCCTATTGCTAAAATACCTAATTCTTTTATTCCTATCCAAACGAAGGATTATGATAAAATCCCTAATGACTAGAAATTGTGGTAGAATCCCTGCATAGATTCCCCAATCCAAACGACCCCTTACGGTTAACTTTGTTGGATGATATGTGAATGGGTTAAGTATAGTATGCATTGTTACTAAAATATGATTTTTTTTTGACATCTTGTTACTAAAATACGATGTGAGTAAGTTACATATAAAATAAGTAAGAGTATTTTATTTCATTTCTAAATTAATAGTACATTTACTAGTACATCAAGAGTTAAAAAGTATATAAAATTAATTATTTTACTAAAAAATAAAGTCATCAATCTCCATCACTATTGCTTCAAAGTCAAACATCCTAAGAAATGTCGAAAATCAATCTCATAAAGCACATTATAATCAAATTCCTCTGCACCAAAACCATCAAACCAAATATTCATGATCAATGACAAGTTCATTATTGTATGAAGAATATATTTGCTTTTAAAATATAATAATATAACTTATAAGCCAACCTTGTACACGATGTCGCTTTCTTGAGGATGATGATGATTCCTCTTCTTCCTCCTCCTGCTCCCCCTCATAAAGAGTTCTTTCAATCTCCTCATAATTTATATATGCATGTGGTTCTTCTTCCATAATCCAAAAATCAATCTTATCTAATTGCTCATAAGCAACTGGATCCTTATTCCACACTTTCTTAAGCACCTACAAGTATAACAGGATGAAACAATTAAGCATATTGTGACTTGTAAGCCGTTGTAGCAAAGGCAACAACACCATCTATAGAGCTATGAAGGGAGTCAATTGTCTGATTAGATTCATCAGGTTTTTTCGAGTCCTTAAAAAATTGGAAGTAATTTCTTACCGCAGACAAAAATGTGGAATTGAAATTCCCATAAAGGGAAATTTCGTCCATCAAATCGTGTTGTAACCTGATCCACCTTAATAGCTTTCATTGAACGCTTAACTGAAATAGATGACGTAAAACCCATGAAGAAATAACTAGTTCATACAGAATCACAGGAGTGTCAGATATGAAATAGACCAAAACCACAAGCCAACATTGAACTAAAAAATAAACGAAGACTCACTAAAACCTAGCATTTGATTACAGGAGAACACTACCAAACTTCTTAAAGCAATGTAGTCAAAATCGCGCTCTAAAGTTTAAGAACTTATGATTTTATGTTTATAGATCACCAAAACGCTTCTATGTAGAAACACGCCTTTGACTACATTGGTAAGGGGTTCTGATACCGTGATGAAATTTTAGCGAATTTGAAAATGAAAAGACACATACACTCGAGTTTTACGTGATTTCCCTGAATGTCAAGACTAGTCCACTGGATAGACTGCGCTCTCAAGTCACTCTTATTGAACTTAATATAACAGGAGATACATATATACACCGTGTGCTAGGGTTGTATGTGGGCAACGGGCTGGGCCGCCCAAGAGCTAGCACGAGCACGGGCACGACACAATATATTAGTGGGCCGTGCTGGGCCTAATATTATTGAGACCTTCTTGAGTATAATAGCGAACATGGCATGAAAAGAATATTTATTTGCTAGAAAATAAATATAAAAATGATTATAGGTTCAAATATTACAAAATATAAGTACAATAAAAATTATTTACTGTTATTAGAAGTGATCATAAATATATATACCTAATTACTACAACAAGTAAAAATTGACGAAGTATTAAACAAAGTCAAATTACACCCGCCATACTTCTAATTTTCTTTTCCTCCCTTATTTGTTATATTTCTCAAACATTCTCGGTTAATAATTTCATTATCCGTCCTATTTGTTCCTTCTTTTTCATTCCCTCTTTTATTTTCTTCCTTTTCATTAAACACGAATATGTTTTCAGAGAAGCTAATTTTGTAGCAGATCATTTGGCATCAGTAGGCCACTTTCTGCCTGTGGGAGTGCATTTGGTTGAGCACCTGAGTCCTAGCCTATTCTATTGGTTGTACTTTGATTCAGTTAGGGTTCAAACCCTGTGTTCCGTTAATAATTAAGGGTTAGAGCGCCCCTCTGCGCTCTGTTTCTTACCAAAAAAGATTAAACACGAATATGAGCACGACATGAGCACGAATAGGCACGACATGATTTAAACCGTGTCCGGGCCTGACCTAGCAAAATTAATAAATGAGTTGGCACGACGCAACATGAAAACTGACAAGGCGTGCCAAACACGACACAAAATAAATGGACCCGAAGCATGCCTGTGCCTTACTGGCCCAAGCAAGGCCAACGCCCATGTACAGCTGGGGTCACCTGCTCCCCTTTTTCAATTAATAGAAGAGAAGAATCACAACAACGTCCCTTGGCTCAAGATCTCTTTAGTTAGAATAAGACACCTAAACTAAGGGAGTTGTGTATTTTAATAATTTCATATCTTTAATCTAGTTTCGAAAATCCTGCATACTCTTTGAAATACTAATTGGATTTGAGGCTTCTTTCATTTCCACCACTTCATTGAAATATGTCATTATAGACTGAGATTTACGAAGTTCTGGACAATATAGCAACTCCTTATATAGTTGACAACTATCCTGCTCTGTTAGGGCTATAAACTAATGTAAAAGCTATCGATGATGACCACCACTTGTACTATCACAAAATGATCCCCTCATGTCCTCTTAGTAACTTGTAAATGAGGCTTCCAGAACAACCACACATAACCAACTTGAGAATTCTTGTACTTATTTTCATGCTTCCCTGTTGTAAAAGTGTTATTTACTGCATTCTCACTGTTAGGAATTTTACTATGCTATATAGCATTGGTGCTATAGGTTTTTGTCTTTATGGTATAACTTGAAGTTATATCTTTAACGTTATGGTACAACTTTAGATTGTACCTATACTCTTTTGTACAAATTCTTTCATGGTACAACTTGAACTTGTACATTTATGTGATGGTACAATTTTAAGTTGTAAAGTTGTACCATAACATAAGGGTACAAATTCCTTTATGGTACAACCTAAACTTATACATTTAACGTTGAGGTACAACTTCAAATTGTATATTAAAGCATCCAGACTTTAGAGCATAGTAGAAGTGCTCTCTCACTATTTTTTATAGCAACCTTTGTAGTACCCTCAACTTCTTTAGCATAACAGTGTGTTTGACAGGGGAGTTGAACCCCTGATATTCAAAAAAAATACGTACAGTTACCTTTTTCTCTCTTTGTTTTTTAGAAACATACTAGAAGTTGAACCGGAAAAGATAGTGGTTTAGTGTTCGGTGGTTAATCGTTACAAAATCGTTGGTAAACCGTTGATAGAATCATTCATGCTATAACATATAAGACTTGTATATTACACTAATTTAAAAATGAAGTTATCATTGCCCATAAACAATTTCAAATTCATATCATCACCAAACTATTTAGTAAATCATTCAAACCGTCTCGCAAAAAAATCATAATTTTTTTAATTCAAATTAAAATTTATTAATTTACGGTGCGAGTCGGTAGTGGACAATGTAAAGTCGACAACAAAGTTGGAAAATGAGAAGAGGAAGCATATATAAAATTAATAATTATAGTTTGGTGGTCTTAGTTTATGAAAAATTATTTTTTTAAAAAAATTTTTATGATTAAAATAGTGAACCACTGGACCAGTTAAATCGTGGTGGTTCATGTGGTTTTATGTTGAACCTTTTGGTCCATCAATAATCGTTCAAACAATGAACCATACCGCTATCGTAACTGGTTTGGTGGTTCTATTGGCACAACCGTTGATTCGGTTCTTATAAAAATGCCTTTTCTCCCCATGCCCTTAGGAGGAGAAGGAGCCAAACACCTGCCAATCGATTTAAGCTTCAAGTGAAGGGAAATCACCTGCATCAAGTAAAGGTTGCTGCTCTAGGGGAGCTTGCATCCCATCGGTATGAGCCCATGAGCTAATTCTACAACCTGATGTTGTTTTAATCTTTTGTTTTCACTATGGAGGAGCTTATTGAGAAAAAGGTTCAGGTTCTCCCTCGGTGTCCAGTTTGTTGGGATGGTCCGGAGACAATGGAACATCTATTCCTATATTGTCCGGTTGCGCAGGCTCTCTGGGACTGTTCAGGGCTGGAATACCTGGGGGAGGGTTTGCCTCAGCACACTTTTCCTTTGTTTTTCAAATGTTTGTTGGTGCTGATTCATCAGCCGTCAGTGGTTATGGCTGTTGTTACCGTCATTTGGAGGATCTGGCGTTCTCGGAATTGGGTTGTCTTTGAGGGCAAACAATTTGGGATCCCGACGCTCATGCAGCAATTTCACCAACAGTATGAGGAATGGGTGGGTCTCCCAACGGATCAAGCCCCGGGAAGGACTATCCCGATGGTGCAACTACAAGCGCAAGTGGGTGATTCCCATTTGGTTTGCATGTGGGATGAGGCTACTAAGGATGGGTCGCACTCGGCTGGTGGGATGGTTCTCTTTGACCCAGCGCTGACACTCCTTCTGGCTCGAGGGGTTCAGTTTTCTCAAATGGATGACCCGGGGATGGTGGAATTGCTCGTGCTTAGGGAAGCTATCATTTGGTGTATGGAGCAAGGCTTGTCGGAGGTCCGGTTTGAGGGCGATGCAAAGGTGATTATTGAAAAAATTAATCAAGCCGACACGAGAGATAGCCGGTTGGGTGCTGTTCTGGAAGAGATTGGTCATTATTTTCATACCCAGTCTGGTTTTAGTGTGCATTTTGTAGGTCGGGAGAACAATAGGGTAGCTCATTTGGTAGCTAGGAAAGCCCTTTCTTTGTAGCCGACTATGAGTCGCTTCTTTGATTTCCAGTCCTGGCTGGTTTCCAGAGTGTAACTGTCTATTTTTTGATCAATACATGATATCTTTTGACAAAAAAAAACTTTTGTTTTCTATTCTCCATGAGAGTAAAGCCATATGCATCCATTGTACCCATATGAATCGAATTTGCAGGAGGAGTAACCTGTACCTCTAAAAAAGAATTATTGATTTTTTTTTATTACATACAATATTCACCATCTCATCAATTAGAGTGACAAAAAGGTTCCGTAAGTTAAGTTCATATTTATATAATAATTGAATCAAATGTGATATTTTTGCGTAACTTGATATTATTATTATTATTATTATTATCATTGGTTTAATTATTTTCATTTTATTCCTCAAAACATATGCAAGATGCATAGCTAGAAGATTGATTAAAACGTCCCTTCGGAGACATCCGATAAAATGGGAATGATACAGAGAAGATTGATTAAAACGAAGGGAAAAAATCAAAGTGAGTATCCCCAAAAGATAAAACCAAACTAGAAACTCTACAAGGGAACCACTAGTAAAGCCTACATTATATTCATTTCTATATATTAAGTAACTGTGCTAAAAAAAATCATCTCTCTACCTCTGAGTTCTTAGTTATCAAGGTTGCCCACACAACTGCGAATTTGAACTTGTTCATAGCTTTCCCATCCCAATAGAGGGTAGACCGTGAAGAATTTAATAACGCGGAATTGAAATAGAACACATAACACAAGATTTTATGTGGTATTCTCGTTCGATTGATTGATCGAGACTAATCCATGGTGAGTTTGGAACGCGCTCAAGACTGATATTTTATTAGGGATTACATTGTGATAGTTATAGAAGCCCTAAACCCCTTCCTTTCGTGGCTTGACTACCCTTTCCTAACTTACATTTGCTCTACCCTAATTTCCTTAATGCCAAAGAATGTTTGAGCAAACAATATGATATGCTTTGATTTTATTATTAGATCACGCATAATGTGTGGTCTATAAATTTTGATTTTATTATTAGACCAGACATTATGGAAGATTACATAACATCAATATATATCATTTATATAAATTAAAAATACATTATGTAAAACTTGTGAATGGATAGTTATTTCGTATCTATCAAGTAAACAAACAAATTACGTAAGTCTTCCGTAATGATTAAGACATTATGTAAAGATTGTGGATGAATCTTACCTGATCTATTTTATAAATTATTTGATTTCAAATAATCATTATATGAATTTATGAAGTTTTTAAATGTAAATAGTTTCTTATCATCGCGAAGCATAAGCAACAAAAATAGTAACATCTTGAAACATCAGTGACTATAGAAGAATATCACTTCCCCTTCTAAATAATGTCATCGTGATATTACGTAAAGCTATGGCTATAACATCAGAATAATCACGAAAACCACCCTAGATCATTGATCTACAATCTGTAATGACTTGAGAGGATTTTTATTTTGGATGAAAACCTCTCTAGATCCTCTTCCTCTACAGATGAATGTTTTCTTCTTTTTCCTATTTATTCCTCGATATTAGCACATTCTTTTTAGTTTAGAAAGATACTATTTTCCAATGTTGCAAATCTTTCTGTTATCTGACCTATGTATATAGCTTTATCTCAAAGCATCATTTCTTGTTTTAACACAACAACAACAACAACAAAACATAATTTCTGGTCGATCAACAACCTTATGAGATGCAAGCACTCCTTTGGGTTTCAACATCCAGCCGCCTTAAGAAAATTATCATATGGACTCGATGCTGGCAACTGGAAGTATTGGTGATGCTGGTACTCGGTTCCACATAGCATTGTGCCACTCGAGCTAGGTGCATTTTGCATATTCGTGAAGAAGTTTTGGCTGATGAATGGGTTTCCACTCTGCAGTTTACAAATTAAGATAGGTTTTATTGTGAGGTAAAAGCTCGTAAGATATCTAAAAAGTTCTCACTCTTATATCTCTAGTTTCACATGGAGATGACCAAATACTTTGAGAGGAAACAGATATTTCTAAAATAGATGTCATTATTTATGGAAAAATAAGTTTGAAAGAGAAGACCTGCTCAATGGGAAGATCAAATGGGTTCTGTTTTGGTTTGTTTTGCTCAATAACCGATTTTTTGATTGCGCTTTCTTGCCTTTGATTGACAGTTAATACAACAGACATCTTTTGTTGCTTTCCAGCAGAAAGAGCTTCACAATGGCCAGCCATTTCCATGTAAGGAATGTGGGGCGGCGTTGAGACCGAAGATCTTCCAACTTGATTCGTTGTTTCAGACACCTGCGTGCGTAGATGAGAAAAATTAATATTATATAAGTTTTTATGCATGTAACATCACTTGTGCTTTTCTAGCTTACTGCAGTTAGAAGGTCAACAACACTAATGAGGCTTGGACTTTCAATAGCTTGCTGCTTATCAGCTTCTGCGTGACCCTCAGCTGTTGATGGTGCATTGTCATCAATTGTGAACAATGAAGATGTCTCCTACATATATATAAAAAAGTACCATCACAAAACAAGCGGTGAGGGGACATGAGAGAGCAACTAAAATTGAAAGGAAGTATCAACCTTGTTAGAAAGTTCATTTTCCTTTCCTTTCCTTGCCGACTTGTTCTCTTGTACATCCATGAACAATTCAGCTCCCAGAGGACATGAATCATGTGGAATAAATTCACTAAGCAACTGTTGTCGCATGGATAGCTCTTCCTATGCAAGACTTCAATGTTAGAACAAAATTTTCATGATAAAAAAGTAAGTTCTAATGGAAACCATTTTTGTTGACATAGTTATGAGGAGTACGTTTGACGGTAGTTTAATAAACTTCATTATCATCGATGCCAATGCTTCTGTAGATTGACTCTCTGATGTTACGATTGCTGAAAGCGACTTCTTTGCTTGCTCATCATCTTCCTTAGAGCCATAAGCTTTGTTTGGTTGATTTATATCCATGTTACCCGCTTGTAACTTGTTATCATCAACCAAATGAAGAAATGGATCGGCCTATAAAAAGTGTTTAAATAATAAAAGATACAGGAAAAAAATAGTTGTCTTATTATTCTAACTTTACTAACTCTCAACCCCACTTTTGAAAGGTAGAGAGTATGAAGAATAAAAAATGTTGTCAAGATGTAGAATCTACAATATCCTGCCCATATGAAGTGGAAGTGAAAAAAGTAAAGATAGGTAAAGAAATACCGTTTTCTCTGTCATTGTAGCTTTAGTACTAGAAACAAGTGGAGGGATGTTGTATGCTTTGGATGTAAAAATGATCATAGATGATGCCAGGGTAAACAATGATCTACGACGGGATGACTTTAATCTCCCTACAACGAACGATTATGAAATCTTGTTAGCCACAAAGATAAAATACGAAACTCACTCAAAATATGAGCATGGTTTAAAGGGTGTGAGCACACATTAAGACAGAACATTGACTATATGTAGAATTATTTACAAGGAAATATTTTCTTCTTATATAAATTGTAAGAGTAATTAAATTTTACCTCCTTCTCCTGCAAGAGCAAAGCTCCTTAGTGAGAACGCAAGCTGAAAGCTCCGAATTAGAGTCTCATTGGAAGAGTTCTGCATGGTACATTGTTAAGTGAATAAAGTTAACAATAAGTATCACCATACTTAACCATACAAGGAAGAAAACAAAATTCTCATCAAATTATAACCTATAATTAAGTCCTTAAATTGGATTTAGCATCTTTGAGTGTTTGGTATAAGATTCATATATAGACCTGTCCTGATAACCCGAGTTATTGCTATGAAGAAATTTATGACTTGGTATTAGAGTTGGTTTTACAAAGCATTCATGTGTTCAAATCTCCATGACCCCCAATATTAACACTTGATTTAAGAACAAATTATGATGAGAATGTGCAAAACTTCAAGCTTGTGAGTAGGGTGTGCAATAGTTAGTCTGCACTAGAACAAATGAACTTGATCCCGTGAATTTTATAAATATAAAAAAATAGATAGGATTTATATTTGGACCAGACCAAATTCGATCAAATGCAAAGATTATCCGATATTTTTTCCGAAGATATCTTTTATTATTGGACAGCGATTCTCATGGTCTAGTTCGGTTTGCACATCCCTACTTGTGACTTGATTTTTTTTTATGGTGTGACTAAGAGAGTGGCTCCACGACATTAAAATGATTACATTTACGTCATAGGCAGTATCAAAATATGAATATATAATGATGCATATAAATTTACATGCACCTTGATAGAGAAATGTAGTTTGTGGAAAGAATACGAAAGGCAGAACTTGTGATAGAGTTTGATAGATGAAGATATGAGAAGAATTTTAAGTGAACTTGGAAAACCTAATCCCTCATCAATCTGACATGAATTTATTAACTTACTCCTAAAGAAACAGGGTAAACACTATAATATTTAATACGATTCCTATAAAAACTAATATTTTCTCAAAAATTAATTAAAATACAAATATTCTCATAATGCCAAAATAAAAATAATGATATTTTCCAATATGCTTTGTGGGCATAATAGAACTAGAACAAATAGGCAACATATTAGGGTTCTTCATAATCTATTAAAAATATAACAATTAGGAATATGATCGACATCATGATATAAAAGGAAGGGCATAACTAACCTTGGTTCTTGCAAATAACAATGTCAGGCTGTAAGTATGAGCGATTGCTTCATAATTTGAAGGTTCATTAAGAGGTGACAAGGATTGTGCCCAAATCGAAGAAAGCAAAAGTCCTATTTGCCGACTACTTAACCTAAGGGATACAATCTGCAATCATGAAGCATTTCACAAAAGAAACAAAGGTTAGATTGAAGTGGTAACTCTAACTAAATTCACTGATGCCAAGACTATCAAGCCGTACCTGTTCTTTCTCGGCAACACTCATATTACTCAGATCCGTTGGCAAAGCTGGAGCTGGCTCTTTTATGCTATAAGCTCGACTGTATGAGGACTTCAATCTATTCATCATCGAAGGAGAATTTTTCATTTGACCATCATTACAGTCAACATATTTAACCTTTCTATCATCTTTCATCTTTTTTTGAGAGGAATTTGATTCTCGTTTTAGCTTTTCGAAGAGTGCAGCTGAGGAAGAAAACACAGACACTGTTCTTGAAAGCATTCTTTGGATATCGGCCGATTTATTGGATACCGTAGAACCATTGTTGGTACGGGGACAAACAGAGGACGGGACAAGAACGATAGAGAATACACGATGTGCACCCACCCGTGTTTCATGATCATCATAGACCATAGCTCGAAGTAACTGAAAGAACAATGCTTCGGGAAATGCCTAATAGGAAGAAATATTAAGTAAGTGAAACTTGTAGAAATTATTTAAGTTGATCAGCGAGGAAGTAAATGATGAAGTTATGTTGCCTTATCATGGTAGGACAAATTTGGAATGGCTGCAACAATTTGAGCAGTTCGGTAAACAGTTGCAATTAAGGTTCTTGCCATGACTGTAATGGCTGACATATTCTCCAACATTCCAGCCATCACGTCAAGAATAGGATCTGCATCTCCGACCTATCATTTGAAAGAATTGAGTGTCATATGCATTTGGGCATGTGCAAGGAGGAAATATGTTGAAGACATACAACATCAATGAAATTAAAAATAAATATGTATTTACCTAAGTTTTTACTAGTAGAAAATGACCCTAAATTGTCGATCTTGGGAAGATGAGGTTAATTACCTTTTGTGATAATTGTACAAGGCACTCATCTACTGCCTCTTGAAATTTACGATTCCACTCTATGACTTCATTGCCCAGATCAGAATCATCCAGAGAGCAGTGTATGCTTTTTCTTAGGTGCCTCATCATATCACTCAATGCACCCACAATAGCTAAAGACTGTTGGGCCTTGGTTGCTTGAGCAAGACAAGTGGAAATGCTGACAATATCAAGCTGCATGCTAGGCTTCTTTAGAACATTCTTGTGGTCAAGATGCTTGATTAAGATGGCCAACACAAAATGTGTGTTATGTCCTGCAAATGGTTCCAAAACAATAAGCTTCAAGAAGAGAAAATGTCTAAGAAAAGGTTTTTAGATAATACCTGAATTCTCCACTATTGATTGCATATCCAGTAGTACAGAGAGAGCAAGGCCATCATCAGGAGCCCATAGATCACCACTGTCAAAGTAGCGAAACAAAGATTCAAGTACACGCCGCATAGTTGTAGCTTCCTTTGCTAGTTGAGCCATATTCCGCAAGCAAACTCTAGACCAAAATGAGGGATCTTTGGACTCTTCCCTTTGTTTTTATTTTAAAATGAAAAGAAAATAAATTAGGTTAAAGTAAGATCTAGGAAGATAAAGTACGATGTAGATAACATAAACGAGCTTATCCTAAGTGCAAGAAGTAGATAATAATGTAAAAGAGGAATTACATAGATATGTTAATTAGTTCTCCATTCTCACTAATAATGCTTCTCCACGAGGGGATTGTTGTCATAGAGTTTGTAGAAGAGGAACTTTGTTCAACATTTGTGTTCACCATTTTATTGTCTGATCCTTTTTGTGCTTCATAATTTTCCAAGACAACAGAAACAACCTATGTATGAGGAAGAATTCAACATGTAAGATGATGAGATAAAGTGAAAGATTTCATAAGAGCAAAGTGTTTACGTACCAAGTCTAGCATAGACAGAAGATAGAAATAGAGGTAGTTAAGTTGAGAATTTGATAATTCGAGATTGGTGCAAGTTTTAGTTAGTAATTTTCTTGATATAGATGGTTTACAAAATCCCTTACATTCATGCAAAGAGCAGCCTTAAAACACAAACTAGTAAGCTATAAGATAAAGAACAGTGAAAAAATTCACTTACATTGTCAAAATCTGCTGAAATATGAGAGAATTCACCCATGAACCACACCTATTATACAAAAAAAAAAAAAGATTGCAACTTATGGTAGACATGGGAGATAAGTACTCGAGTGATAAGTTTTTGTGTGGAAAGAATGACAACCAACATAATTTGGTTAAACTGTTCAGTTTATTTGAGTTAAATAAAGTTTGGTAAGAGTATCATTGTTAAAGAAGTTTGTAATTATGAATGAGATATAAGGCAGTTTTGTAACCGTTTTCATATAATTTCACAGCATGAAGTTGAAAAATATGTATAAATAAGGACATATAAGTGGGAAAACTAGATATATTAAGTTATTGGAATGTTGTTTTAGTACCATTGCTGAAAGAGCTTGAAGCCCTGCTGATCGAAGTTCATTTATCTTCTCATCTTCGCCCATCTCTTGCACTAAAGCACAAAGTTTTGGAACTAAACCATCTAAATTGAAGACATAAGTGCCATCTATCTATAAAAACAAATTTGATACCAAATTAGCTTAGGATTCGTTTCTACATGCTAGCTCAAACTCAAAATACTTAACAAAGATAATCAAAAATATAATTATTCATAATAAAGGATGAGCATAATGAACACATCTAGAAAGATACATCAATGAACTCTCCCACCTGATTATTTACAAAGTCAAATAGAGCTTGACATCCTAAAGTCCGTATCTCATTATGCCGTGTTTGATCCAATAGAATGTGAACAATTCCAAGTAAGCTACTTGCAAACAATGGCCTGTCAATTTGCAATCACTAATCATGAATTCATGTAAACAAGAACTCCAAAATATAACATTTCTTTTTCAAAAATCAAAAATATTTTTTGTTTATATTTCAAGTGCATAATTTGTTAGCTTAACCGTTGCCACTTTTTTCACTTTCATAATGTTAGAGAAATATTGTTAAATATTTTTGTTTAAAAAATAATATATTAAATAGAGGAAATATTGGCTCCAAAAAATATTGTCAGTGATGGAGTTACTTTTGAAATCATGCAATGTGAGTTTTACATGATTTTACAATGAAAATGTGTTATCCATTGACTTTGAAATTTTTTTCTTTAGGTACACAATATTATGTATTTTGAGGATTAAACAGGAAAGACCTTTAAGCATGTATTGTACAACATTTGATCTCATGCAATGAAAAATAACTCACATTTGTTCCCTACAAGAAACCAATAACTTCCTGTATATGCATAATACAACTTTGACAGAATGAAATTGCTCATTTCTCAGATCCTTGTAGCATCTTTGCTCCAACGAGGTTGTTATCTATCAAAAGAATTTGTCATGAGCATCATGATTGGGATTACTAAATGAATGTTTCAAAGTTTACTTCCAAAGTGAAGCAAATCAAGGCATAAGAGAGGAGTTAGACAATACAACAATATATTCTAACTATGATATCCATATTAGTGAAATATGAAAGCTGGAGAACTCATTTACATGCTTCTACTTAATAGAGTCCAGTAAATATGACTCTTCTTATTGTTTGTCATTCACTAGTATGATTTATTTTATCGAGCAATTAGCTTTCAAAACACGAGTCAAGCAAAATGAAGATGCTCACAAATTTTCACAATTCTTTTTTTTTCTTCTTCTTTCTGTGAGTAGAAGACAAGTCTAGTTATTTTCATCACCTACATTATTCAAACAAAGACATGTAGAATGAATTCGGCATTTTCTATAGCTATATTATCATATTCAAATGTTTGAGTGCTTCCGAATTTGAATGTCTAATGTTATCCCAATATGTCATCCTTATTGAAAAACAAAGGAGTAGAAAAGCATATTAGTTGACTAGATTTTCCATTTTAGCTTAATTACACAAGTAATAGCTCCTAACCAACGACAATGCCATATCTAGCTTGTACCTTTGGTATTCGAAGAGGGTTTTTTGAAGCATATTCACATAGTTTACCAATTTTTCTATCATTTGGTTGCTCATCCTGCCAAAATATGTGAGAGAAGCATCACAAACAAAAACGAGATAGATTGGAGTTGTATGAAGTTGCATTCACTGATGGATACATATTTCAAAATTCAACAAATAAGAAATACGAAAATAACTTACCAAACAAATAAAATATAATTAACTAAAAGGAAAAAAAAACATCTCATATGCTTTATCAGGTTAATATAACCGCACCAATTTAATTGGGTAGCTAGATATCTACTTAGTGAGATGAATCTTATGTTCAAATGAAGATACCAACAAATACAAATATAAAGAAACAAATGAGAGAAACTTACTGGGGATCGGGGAAATATATCAGAAAGCAATTTCTTGTAGCGCTTAAGAGGATGTCTTGACCTTGCCCTCAATGAAGGACAAAAGAAACACAAGCTTTCACATGCAGGAAAAATAGTCCTCGAAATGGCACCCATCTTTCGAAAATCCTTGAAATGTTATACGAGCCCTATCAAGAAAAATGGTAACTCAAGTTTTTTTGTTTCCTTCCTGTCTATGTACAATATAATGTCAATATCTCATTCCAGATAAATGTCTATATCCACCCATAACCTACAATTTTATGCAAAATAAAGAGTTTCTGCTTGTCTCTTATAATTGCTTCTCTAACCATGAAAATATGGTCATAAGAAAATATTCTCATTCACAACTATATGTACATCACAAGAAACAATAAAATGCATCTTCTAAAACCCCCTCAACAATCAGAAATTGTTTGTATTCCTCAACCTCCAAATTTGTGCAAACAAATTAATTTCCTTTCTCAAAACTTTACAGGAAACATGTAAATCATGCCCCGAAGAGGTTTTGAGAGGGGAAAAAATAAGACAAAAAGATGCAAAATATAGAAGGAATGATGTAATTGGAAGAAGCATAAAGATATTGTTGTCTCGCAGACTTGAAAAAGAAAAGAAACAAAATTATCAAATCCGTGGAGGAAAAGAAACAAGAAATGAGATGATTTCTCCACGGATGATGAATTGAGGGAGAGGAAGATAGAAACTAAGAAAGAATCAATTGTAATATTGTTGTAGAGCTAAAAGATAAAGAAAACGAAAAAGAATCAACCAAAATTTATATTTATAGCTTCATGCTTGTTGTCACGTCTATTTTTATAGATATATTCTCCGTTTCCATCACTCTCTCTCACTCTCTTTTGAGAATATTTGACTCTATTTGTACATTTTGCTTTGTTTGATTATTTGTTATTGTTTCTTCAACTAAGAAAAATTAAAATAATTTTAAAAGTAGCTAATATTTTCCCGTTTGAAATTTTATTTGGCTACACGCATTTGAATAATCATAAATATCCGCTTTTGGGAAAATACCAGATGTTTAAATTTGTTTAACTAATTTTTCCATTTCCTTTGGCCCAAAATTTCAATGAGGTAAGTCCTAGAATTTCCCTCAAGCTTGCGCCTTTTCCATGGCATAGTAACCCTAAAACTAGGTTTGGGGTTTAGAAAGATGGCTCATCTCTTCTAGCTCTTTCTCCTTCTTTTCCTTCATTCACTTTCTCTCTCTAAAACCAGAATTTCTATCTAAATCAGCTCCCTTGAATGGGAAAAAGGGGTTTTCTATTTATAGGCATAAGAGGATGGAGAAATTCGCGGGCAGGCAGGGCAGAGATCGCGAGCGCGATCTTCTTCATGGAGGTTGCGATCTTGTGATGATGCTGTTTTAGCCTTCAGGGACAAGGAGTTCGCGAGCTGACTTTGCGGTCGCGATCCACAAGTCGTGGCCGTGAACTTCCTCGCAGTAAGTTTGCACTATGGTCATGTTCTCTTTTGGGAAACTCTTTGTGTCTCCTCGACTGCTTCTTCACGAAGTTCGGGCCCTGAGCCTTCCAATTCGTGGTCGCGATCTAGGGCTTCCTGACCGCGATCTTCAACTTTGCTTCACAGGCAGGGTTTTCGGCCGTAATCCCTATCTCCAGGCCACGATCTTCGATCTTCTGCCCCCTTTTGCTACACTTGTGACCTTATTTTGTACCTAATTCACATGTATTGTCTAAAGCACCCTAAAATTACGTCAAAATCAAATAAGAACGAAATAGGGATCCAATTGACGCTATTCAAACAATTATGCATATGAATTGGCACGAAACAAACCTTATTATGAAGGGTAAATAACACCAATTTAGGTGTTATCAAACTCCCCAACACTTAGGCATTTGCTTGTACCCAAGCAAACCTACTCAAACCAATGCAACATGATAGATAAATTAATGGGGAATGCACTCTAGTTTTTTATTGCATAAATAAGAGTAGATGGAGACGAATGAACGTTACTATCATCCTACTGTGAAAGCACAAACTCTCGGGGTGAGAACAATACTTACTATCTTAGGCAGAACATTCAAAGTGTGCACCGGGGGATTTCTCAAACAATAAATAAGCACAAGAACTCTCGATGGTGCTCTTTATTCTCTCTTTTGATTTAGGATATTTCATTTATTGGTCTCCTTTTTTGAAGTTGACGCGCATTGCACCAAACCTTTACAAATAAACATCTCTCCCTCATTGACCAAGAGCTGATGAATCATAGCCTTCCCATTCAAGGTCACATGTGGGGAAGTTGATGGGCAGATTCATCTTATCCCGAGCACCACTTCCCAGCCGCACTCTACATTGGGTTGCCACACATGTTGGGTACAAACGAGAGCTTTGAGGTATCATGAATCGCTAAAAATTACTTTGTACATTAGCATACGATTTCTTGAGGAAAGATGCATGGGAGATAGTAAGTAGTAAAAGATGCTCGGGATGCAGTAAAGATATCTGATCCCCAAACATATTCTCAAAGGGCACTCTGAATCCATGAGGATTGGTTGCCTCCCACGTGAGAATCTTGATCGGTTCAATCCATGCAAGTTATTGTTAATGGGTAGCACATGCCAACAACTACCCCATCCTAAGCCAAGTTTAACTTAAGATGGCATTGTCGTATAGTAGCAATCAAGGTCGTATTTTACTCAGGTCCTGGTACCCTAGCCTACTTCCCACCTAGTTGCTAATTAGTTAATCGGTTTTGGAGGTTTGAGTGGAGGACTTGAGGAGATAACTAGACTAGAGATTGATCAAAGCTAAAAGCAGGTACTTCGGGGAACTAATCCTCCCCCTATCTTAGGGTCACTATGCATGTATAAATACCTAGGGTTATCGAATGTGGTGAGTGAGCTCTTTTCCAAGAGCTTTCATAGTTATCCACACACCTCCGAGTACGCCTCTCCTAAACCCATATATAGTCACCTCGATATAGGCTATTATCTATGGCATTAAACTTATGGCGCATTTCAATGGACACTATCCACCGTCGACACCGATGTTTTATCCAGGATTCTATCTAGGAAGGATAACCTACGGAAGTGGTTTGGTCTCCTCGACCACCATAGGTCCCTATTCATACATCTACCACGATTTGCTTGATGACGTATGTCCGTCTAACCCTAGAACTTCATACCCAACATAGAAGCATAAAGTAGGCTAATAGAGAAGATCAGGGCGACTTCCCTAAACACAATCAATAATAGAATAGCAATGGAATCAACTAGATAAACACATTGATTCATTCAAACCATAAAGCTAGGGTTTGGGGGTTAGAACCCCTAGTACCTTAGAGGACTACTCCATAAAGGAGGAAAGAAGAAACATAGCATAAACTGAAGAAGACTTGGGTTGAGGAAGATGCTCCCTCTCTTCTAGCTCCTTCTTCCTTCTTCTTCTTCCTTCAACTTCTCTCTCTTATCTCTCTCTCAAATCAATTTTTTCCCCTCAAAATCAGCTCATCTAAAAGGAGGAAAGGGGTCTTCTATTTATAGGCAATCTGGGGATAGAGAAGTTCGCGGCCAGAAGCATAGAGATCGCGATCGGGATCTTCCAAAGTGAGACTGGGATCTTGGAACGGTTTTGTCATGGCCTTCGGAAATGAGGAGATCGCAGGCTGACTTCGCGGTTTCGAAACACTAGTCACGACCACGATCTTCCTCGCGGTCTGACTTTGATGTTGTTCCAGCGGGGACCATGGAGAAGCACTGGTACAACAACAACTTCGTCCTCCAGAACTTTCACAGTGCGGGGGAAATCTGGCATGCCATTGACAACCGCCAGTGGAGGCGAATCCTCCTCTTGTTTGCTACCACCTACACCGAACTGGTGTGGGAATTCTACGCTACCTTCCGCATGGCAGCGGATCGTACCCACCTGGGTCGTGTTGATGGCCTCTAGTTCTGCCACGAGGGTGTAGAATAGGAGATGAGAGCTTCGAGTAGCTCATGGAGGCGTTGGGCATGAGCTTACGACCTCTTTATTACCAAATCTTCAAGAGGCCCACGCCCTAGGGCATCGACCTCCTCGGCCTCTACACCACGTTCTGCTTACTCGAGTACCGGGCGGTGTGGTTCGACCCGGGACAGAGCAATGCCACCATCCTTCAACCACAGTGGAGGATCATCCATCTCATCCTCACCCACTCATTCTGCCCTAGTGTCACCTTCTTGCACAAGATCACCAAGCGGGTGCTCTATCACATGTATTCGATGCCCCGGGAGGATGAGAAGCTGCACTTGGGATCTATGGTGGCGAAGACCTTTGCCAAGTCGGCGAAGCACCCTCGACATCTTTTCTGCGGCGCTCTGATCACCATTATGGGGAAGAAGCTAGAGGTCAGACTCAAGGGCCTCACAAACGTCTCTACCACTCTCGGCTCCTTCTAACTCACCAGGGACGTCATCTTCCACCAAGGACTGTTGATGGAGGTTGATGGGTGCGAGTGGGTCGAGGTTCTCTCTCTCCCTCCTAATAAGATCCACTAGGATGATGTTGTTGCTAATGATGATGATGATACATCCTCCTTAGATGAACCGATCCCCGAGGAGCCCCTTTTCCCATCGAAGGATCTGCCTCCATGAGGGAGATTGGATCGAGGCGAGTCCTCATCCGATCTTTCTGTTTCGTCGATGGTGTTCTTCACCTCCCATTTCCAACTGTTGGCCATCCAAAACCGGCAGATCCAGACTCAACATTTCTAGTTACAGGAGTAGTATTGGGCTCATCAGGCGCAATAATCTAGCCGTCTAGACCAGTTTGATGCCCGCATGGATCGCCTCAAGTCTGAGAAGGACTTGCTTCGTGCCCATATAGAGCGTAAGCGTGACCACAGTTGCCAGATGCAGGAGGTTCAGCAGCTGCCGGCTTGGCAGACTCCCTGGGTTGATTCCCCACCACTACAACTGTGGGGCGACGACGACTTCATGGTGGACATAAACTTCCACGTCGATGACAACGAGTAGGTTGTACTTGCCAGCTGCTTCCGTGTTTTTTTTTTGTGTCTTGCTCCATATGTGTGGGAGCGTGATCTGAGTCGTTTGTTTTCATTATTTTTTATTTTTGGAGCCTATTTGGGTGGCAACTGTTCCTAACGATTCATGATCTAGTGGTTGTTTTTGTGAACCCTTCTTGCAGTGACTGGTCCACTTTCCAGTGTACCCCATCGACCGGTCCATTTTTCAGTCCTGATGCAGCCCATTTTTGCGGTAACATCGTTCCCCTTATCCTTTCCCCTTTTCCATTGAGGGCAATGTCGATCTTAAATGTGGGGGGTGTTTATCTTTGACTACTTATATGCATTTATGTGCTTAGAGTCTAGTCCACTGTCCAAATTTTAACATTTGAGGGGTTCAAGTATGTGTTCCTTGAAATTGTCTGTTCAGTATGCTTTGAATTGACAGTCTTTATAGTACCATGCAACCTAGGAGGTAGTTGTAGTACTATGGAGGATGCTGAAGTACTCCTATCTTTCTCCTTGTTGTGCTGGTTGATTGTGTGAACTAGTGGATGTAGGACCTTTGGTTCATGTGGTATCGATGACTCTCCTTGTGTTTCAGACTCATGTATCATGAAAGGGTGCTCAGTTGTGCTAGTCGATATCGTATCATGAAAGGGTGCCCAATTTTGAGTAGGTAGGAGCCCATTTATTCATCATGAACGCCCCAATTGATCTTTATATCGCCGAATTCAAATCTTCATTTTTGGACCACGAGAATTGAAAATTGTTCTAGTTGATATCATATCATTCCCTCTCTCTTGAAGAAGATTCACCCTCGAATCTTTATAGAACTTTGATCTCTGATCAGCCCTCGTCTTCTTGGCCTTCCAACGAAATCGTCTTGGTAGTGAGGATCCTATTATTCACCCCTTCTTAAGAATAATTCGTCCATGAATTGTAGAGACATCATTCTGATGAAAAATCTCTACGTAGCTCTCCACTTCTCGTCGATTTATCAAGTGAGCTTCCTCTTCAGAAATTGTATCTCCCATCACAAAATCAATATGAGCATACTCGGGAACGATTGGTAAATGCTCCATAATTTTCATAGCTTCATCTCCTCGATCGGATTCTTGTTCCCCATGGTATTGCTCAAATTCAAGTGCATCCAAGACTGGCACATCAACAAAAGCACTTTCCTTCTCCTCGTAATTTGATTTTGATGTTGTGTTGCTTGTATGAAATTTCGAATATCTTGTGGCTTCTCTACTTGACTCACCATCTCGTTGTAATAATCCATCACGTCAAAGAATTCTTGCCTCTTCTCTTTTACCTCCATGGTAGACTCAAATGATTGCTCTTCCTCATTGTCAAATGTAATCACGATCATCATCTTCTCCTTTTGCTTCATGAATCATGATGTTGTCTCGATCAAGAACCACAAATACACAAACCAAAACACACAACAATTTTTTTTCTTCCTACTGCCGAGGCTTTGTGGCCTTAAACTCTTTGTTCTCTTTTTTTTTCACTACCTTTTCTTTCATTTCAACAGTATACGAAAATAAAAAAACAGAATTAGTAATAAGAAAACACAACTCCCTCTTTTCTCATGTTACAACTCTTCTCTATTTTTTTACCCTGTTTCTTTGCTACTCACGTAACAACTTAAATATAAAAAAATCAAAAGAAATACTACTAACATGAATGAGGGAAAAAAACCCCTCAAGAACGTCTTTCTTTTCCACTGCTTGAGCTCTGATACCATTTGATACAATCAAAGGAAGTTGCGAGTTGGAGATGAAAGTGTGCAATTTCCTAAACCTCCTGAATGCATTGGTTGAGATCAAATCGATCCAGAAGTCCATTTTCCAGGAGCTCGGAGTTGGTGCGCGGGACTATTTCCTAGACAGTTTACTTGTAAGAGAAGATTGATACTTAGATTGCAAGTTTCCTTGTTTTACAAGTATTCCTTACCTTGTTTAGTTTTAATTCATTTCATTGTTCATGTAGGATTGTATTAGGTTTATATTTGGCTATAAATAGCCTTTCCTTTTAGTTGTAAACCACATTTTAGTTTAACCAGAAAAGTTACTCCAAGGATTTTTTTCTTGAGCTTGATATTTGGTCTTGGATCTCTTCCCAGACTTGCAGAGCTTGAGATCAATCTCATCACCATTGATCTTGTGGTGTAACCCTAGCAAAACCAGCCTCTTTCCTTTCCTATTGAAGTTGCTAGCTTGGTTCTTTTCCTTCATCAAAACCATGACCTTGTTTTTACTAAGATTCCACCTTACACACCAAAACTCGTCCACCAAGTTACCTAAGCTGTGTGATTCTGAATCTAGACCTACCTTGGGCTCATCAACTACTTGGCATGATCTTGGCTTGAGTCTAGTACTCACATTGAGAGAAATAGGAAATGTCTTAGAAGACTAGTTAACCTCTTAAGCTACTAAATGATCTAGGAAATCATTTACCGACGATCGGGGTTTCATGTTGCTACACTTTTGAGCACGGAGGGAAAAAACTGATCCTCAAAGAAGTTCAAGATGACCAGCGCCACATGTCGAGGAGTCGAGTTAAGGATGGAGTGGAGTCGAGTGCAACACCTTCAGGGAAGCCCAAAGAAAGAAATTGATGGCTCGTCGTTATCTGCTGACTATTCTCTCTGGTAAGACAGTTACCCGTCGAAGCCTAATTGGGTGGGAGGACGGGAGCCAAGCCAAAACAAAAGAACGATGCTGACACGTTCAGTGATCACCCAAGAACGTGTAAGATTTAGGAGACTCATCCGAAGCAAGTCCAAACGAAGAATCCAGAAGTCGGATTTTTGGCCCCAAATACGAAGTTCGACGAGTCAAAAATGGGTGCAGTGGTTGTGGAGATTGGGAGTGATGTGATCTAATCCGACACTAGGGAAAGCTTGTTGGAGTCTCAGGGAAGGTGTAGGAAACGAGAAATTGGCTCGATGATACCTGAAATAGAAATGCTCAATTTTCGAATTGGCTCGCCGAAATCTGGAATCGTTTCGCCGAAATATGGGAAATTTAAATTCCCCGGTGGCAGGAACTCGTCGTGTCGCGATACCAGTCGACTCTAGCATAGTCGGAGCTCGAGAAAGGGTGTTGATAACACCTAAAGTATACATATATTCACCTACACTTTTACATCCTAAAATAACCTAAATTGTACCAAGTTCATTCGATTTCCCGATTTTATGCTTGGTTTTGTGTTTGAGTCATGTTTCAGGGTATTCTATCCAATAAGAACGAAAGAATGAGCCAATTCAACAAAAAGATGGTTATGGTTCAAAATCTGTCATCAGTGGAACTCGAGCCCGCAACGTCCCAGGCGAGGAAAAGAGCCGTACCACTCCGGCCGCGTTCCCTTTTGGTGTCAATATACGAAGCCCAATGTGTATTATGGTGTTGAATCAAAGAGAGGGAGAGAGCGCTAGTAATAATCCCCTAACTGGGTAGCTTGGATCAAAGTACGCACAACAACGAATTCAATCACAGATTGAATTCAAGGCAACAAACTCAAACAGAGCTTGAAACCCATGTTTGGGATGGTGACGTTCGTGCAACCTTCTCGTGGGGAAAGAGGGTCGAAGACTTAGGTAGAGGCTTGGCCACGATCAAGGTGATTACCTGAGCGATACAAGCTCAAGATAGAGCATATAAAACCCTAGGACGATCTCCAAATTCACAAAGCAAGATGCTATGGAACTCAAACCACTTGGTTTATTCGATTCGGCATGAAACTGTCAATTACAACGAAACAACTAGCTTAAATAGACCTAATGAATCCTAAGGACTCTTGAAGTTCCAATTACATTCTACCTCGGAAAGGAATCCAAAACAAACATTAAAACGGAATCAAATTGAAAACAGACTTTTAATCCTAATCCGAATAGGATTCGGATTTGCAAGTAGACTTCCAGCTTCGATACGAACTTTGGACTATTCGTTCGAGCTCTCCCAATCATCAATCCAATCACCCAATGCCTTGTCGTTGTAGAGTAAAACTTGTACTTGGATGTTGTCCAACCTTCCAGCTTCGACTCTCTTCTATGCGCTTCGAGCAGCCCTTCAAAGTAAGGACCTCGAACTGACTTTGACACTTACCCGTTTTCTGGCCATCTTCCAGTTTCGACCTAGCCTTTTGAGAGGCATTAAAAACGACCCTTCTAGTCTCACCTTGAACTCCCAAGCACTCCCTCTTGTAGGGCAACTCCCAACCTTTAAGACAAGCCTTCCTTCGTCCATTTTCAATGAAGCTTTGGAGAGAATCATCCTTGCAAAGTGAGTACCCTGCACATGAACAAACACTTAGTCGCATTTGGTGTTTTTCTTGGCTAATTGAACCTGCTTCTTGTTCAAGCAATGGTGGCTTGTAAGATGGGTAAAAATGGATCATATCAGCTAGTTAACAATGCAGAGTCAAACCGCAAACTGAAGAGTCAAACTGCCTCCTGCTAAATATAAGGAAAAGCTGTCAAAAGGACCAACGTGGGCAGCAATATGGTCATGTTCACATATCACGTTCAAGGCAACACACTCTAGAATGTGGCCACGTTGAAGATCACATCAACAAAATTCAAGGAGCTTTCAAAGGGTCAAATTTGAATCCGATAATGCCATAATAGGGTTAATTGCAGGTTTGGTCACTAAATTTACTAAAAAAGTTCACGTTAGGTCACTAGAAATATTTAATTCCATTCGTGGTCACTAGAATTACTTAAAGATTTCAAGTTTGGCCACTCTCCGTCCAACTCCGTTAACTTTGACTGACGTGGCAGTCAACTCTCATAGTTGACCGTTAAATATGTGATGTGGCAATTAGAAAATAAATTAAACATACAATTTAATATTTAAACTTTCCACCTCATTTTCACAACTATTAAAAGATAAAACTTAATTTTCTATAATTAAAAAAAATCTCCCGGTCGTATCCTCCCGACTCCCACCACGAATACCGTCCTCCGATCTGGGTCAGTCGCACCGCCGAAGAACGACTGGGGCTGATTTTGAGGTAGAGGACTTTCTTTTTTATTTGGGAAGGAGACGTTGTTGTGGAGGAGCGGGGTGTAGAGTGGGTGCTTATGGAGGATGCTCTTGTGTTTGGGGTTTTGCTGAGAGCCGCCTGGTAGTGGATTGTTTGAACATTGTTGATGATATGCAGAGGGATGACCGTGATGCGGCAGCGACGCCAGTGGATGAGATCGTGGCTGGTGATGATGCAAGCTGCGGGGGGAATGGGTTTGATTTATGGTTTCTTTGGAGAGTACAAATCTACTCTTTCCTTCTTTTGTTGTCCTGTGTGATGTGAAAATGGGGGTTTATCTTGGATTGGGGAAGGTGCAAGTAGGTGGGAGGATCTATGGTTATTGGCTGGTAGTGGATTGCTTCTGTCGTCTGGTTTGTTTCCATTGGGTGGATGTCGGACAGAAGAAAGGCCGCTATTTTTTTTTATTTTATCACATCAGCGAGAGAGGAAATCCCCTACCTTTGGCTCATCAACTAATTGGCATGATCCTGGCTTGAGTCTAGTACTCACATTGAGAGAAATAGGGAATGCTTTAGAAGACTAGTTAACCTTGTAAGCTACTAAATGATCTAGGAAATCCTCTACCAACGATCGGGGTTCATGTTGTTGTAAAGGTCTGGAGAGTTGCATTGGTTTGAGTCAGGTTTGCTTGGGGACAAGCAAATAGTTAAGTGTGGAGAAATTTGATAACACCGTATTTACACATGTTTTCCCATCATTTCTTGGACATTTGGCTTAGCCTTTTATTGATTTTAGGACCATTGTACGCTAGGTGTTTCCTTGTTGATGATGATTCAGGTCCTAACACGTGAATTAAGACTGAGGAGCAAGTATGAGTGCAACTAGAGAGCATACGGGAATCAGAGGCCAAAGCAGAAAAATCCATGGTCTGGAAGCCCAAATCCACGACCGTGGATTCTAGCCAGATATTCCCCGATCTGGAGTCATAATTCCATGATCGGGGATTTCAAGTGCTTGTCCTTGGAAATTGGCTTGAGAACCACTTAGTTCCACACGCCATTTTGGAAATTCACTGTGTGGATGCCATTTCCACGATTGTGGATTTCAGCGTCTAGTCTTCTAAGATACAGTTTGGGAATTTGATTCATTATTCGTTTTTGCAAGTTTGAAAACAATTAGAGATAGTCCTAGAGAGAGAAAGTGACAAAGACAACCTTGGGAAAGGATTGGAGTGATCTAAGGACATTGAAGCTCGATCTTTCACCCCCGGAGTGTCAATTTCTAGCCTGAAGCAGATTCTCATCCTCACATGATGATTTGTCTTCCAAGCTTTGTGATTTCTCTTCTCTTTATGGAGTAAACTCCATTTTCATCTGGGTATGAAGAACCCTAGTCTTG